AATTGATAAAAGACTTCCATGGTTGCCTTGCACAGGTTCCCAGGTGAAAAAAATATATAATTAAATGCAACTAAAATACACTTAAATACCCGCAAATACACAAACACATCCGGGAAGTTTCACGCGTCCTCCGTACTTGCGGTCTTGAGTATTGGAACTGAACTTAGGCAGCTGATGATGACGTTGCACGAGAACACGAGGACGCAAGACCGCTGAAGACGCATATTAAGAAACAGCCGCTGTCCGGCCGATGTTAGGACGACGCAACCAGAAATACCGGCCGCTCCGCGGAGGCGCTGTTCTCAGGCGGTTTGCTCATACTTATGGACCACTAGCTGCAACAGCTGCTTATTTATAATAAACACGACACACCACTCTCAATAACAGTTGAAGATTTATTAATATTTTCACAAACACACAATTAGATTAACATACTTTTATCACACATAACCATGCTTTACCACGTTTAAAACAAAACCAACAAGTTGTACTATAACCATGGCTGAACTACTGTGCAATAAACATTTTAAATACAAAGTCCATTGCAGCATTTACATTAAGACCATAGGAATATTTACAAGTACTTCAAAACATGTACACTAAGGGTGACTATAGTTTACTATAGTAAAAACACAAATAACTTGTGTAAGCACATGTTATAATGCTTATATTTCTTAAATGGTGTTAAAGAAAATGCATGTTTCCAAGACTATAATTTTAAAATACAAGATAATACCAGTCATGTGTTTAGTATCCAAAAGACTTTCTTCAGTTACAATAATAAAAGAGTACACAAACACAAAATAAACAATATTTACAGTAGTAAATAAAATCATGCAAATTAAAATAATTGTCATATAAAATCTTATTAAAGTCTGTAGTACAATTTTTTTTACATTTTTTTTTAAATGGCATTCAACAATTTGCAATCTCCTCTGAACTAATAACACATCAATAATATAAAATAACAATACTTTCTCAGAGATAACCAGTTTTTTAAGCAAACTCTAATGCACGACACAAAACAGATTTTGTCATTTTATATATATATATATATATATATATATATATATATATATATATATATATATATATATATATAATCCCTTAATTTCTGTTTAACTGAAATATTTTTAACACATTTCTAATCACAATAGTTTTAATAACTCATTTCTAATAACTGAGTAAATAATATTTTACTAGATATTCTTCAAGACACTTCTATACAGCTTAAAGTGACATTTAAAGGCTTAACTAGGTTAATTAGCTTAACTAGGCAGGTCAGGGTAATTAGGCAAGTTATTGTATAATCGATGGTTTGTTCTGTAAACAGTAAAAAAAATTGCTTAAAGGGGCTAATGATATTGACCTTTAAAATGTTTTTAAAAAAAATCAAAACTGTTTTATTCTAGCCAAAATAAAAGAAATAAGACTTTCTCCAGAAGAAAACATAACAATTTCTTGCTCTGACATATATCTATATCTATATATCTATATCTATATATATATATATATATATATATATATATATATATATATATATATATATATATATATATATATATATAAAAAACTGGTTGTAAATTGTGTACAATGTTCCAAGAAAACAGACAAAATGAAAAGAAATAACCTGTCATTTAGTTTTGTTTTATCTTGTGGAATGTTGCTTACACATAAAAGGGGATATATAGGTGGAAAAAAAATGTGTGTCGCCATCCTCTAAATTGCTCTTGTATGTTGTCTTCATCTTTAGTCTTCACAAGTGAGGCTGGCCCAAACCGGGACTGCAGTAGCCAAATCTAATCCTTGTAGTGGGAACCCTTAAATAAAGCAAGAAACCAAAAGGAGAAAGATTAGCATTGCAGCAGTTCATATTACCACAAATATATATTATTTGTTTCATGACATATAACTGGAGTATGTGTTATGCAAGTGCCTAGCTAAAATAATTAATTTAATTTAATCTTAAAGAGTGTGTCTGAGCACTAATTTTCAGAAAAGCCATTTGAAAGTTAAATTCCTTGTGAAATCATAATGAATGTTTTTTTTTTTTGGTTTTTAGTATCATTGTGTTAGTATAAATGTGTATCTAAATATATGTCAAATCTTCAGATATCACATTACATGCAAATTAAACTAAGTTTCGTCAACTAAAATGTCACACTGTACACCACATTTAATATATCATAGCTAGGGCCAGGAGGAATCTGCAGATGTTTTTTGCTATTTCTGCTGAATTTTGGTGGAAGTCTGCGGATTTCTGCTGAATTATTTTGGGAGTATCATAACTAAAACCTTAATATATGAAATAAAAAAATAATATATTTTTAAGTTTTATTTAATGTTTAAAATGCAAATCCAATTAGATTCACTTTATTTGGTAAATAAAGCAAGTTTTTCATATAACATATCTAGTAAGACAGAAAATATTACTGTACAAACCTCATTGTACATAAATCAGATTAACATTTTCACATTAGTCAATAATATTACTGAAATTAATTAAAAAACTGAATAAATATAGATTTACACACATTTAATCAAGTAAATAAACAGAATTAATGAACAAACATCTGAACAAACATCTGCGGAGTTCTGCGAAAAATCCGTGTGGGCCTAATCATAGCTTTATTTCTGCTACAAAAAAAGTTTTTCAGCAAACAACTTCTATTATATGCAGGCTATAGAGGAGGATATATAAAGAAATGATATATTCAACTCTCTAATTAAATGCACCTGATGCAGCTAATCAAGTCTTTTAGGCTTATTTGAAAACTTAAATGACGTGTTGGACCACAGTTGGACAACGCTCAGTGAGAATACTTTTTTCCACAAATTCTTTTTGTTCTAGAGAAACATGTCTGATTGTTAGCAATAATCAAAGAGCAAACTTTTTTTTTTCAAATAAATACTATGCTCTTAAAAATAAACTTTTCATACATCAAGAATACTAAAAATGTTTATTTAAAATGTTTTATATATAAAAAAACAGCTTGAGGGGAGAATCAGTACATTGGAATACTATTTTTTCAGAAGGATCATGTGACACTATTAATTATATACATTGTATTAAATTCACAGTATTACTGCTTGACTGTATTAATTAAATAAAGCTGACACTATCAGAAGAGAATTTACCATACCAACCTAAAAGCTATGAAACAGTAGTGTATGTTTAAGATGTTACGTACTAGTCCTATTGTACTTTGGAGAGGTTTTCTGACAGGAGGATCCCTTCAACTCAGCAGAATTCTCAGCAGACCATCAGCATACACCAATCTAAGAATAAAATAAACAATTTGTTAAAAACCAAAAATATATATATTTTATATTTCCAGGTTTATAGGAAAGAAGAAAGCTAAAGCAGATTTAAAATGTAGAAATTGACAATTTAATGGCACAACATACCCCAAACTAAGCACGCTCAAGTGGTTAATTTACATAAATGACAACTGCTGCTCATTATACCAATATTAACTGTTAAGGATTCATTCATTCATTTTCTTTTGGGCTTAGTCCCTTTATTAATCTGGGGTTGCCACAGCGGAATGAAAGGCCAACTTATCCAGCCTATGTTTTACGCAGCGGATGCCCTTCCAGCTGCAACCAATACACACTCATTAACACACACTTATACACTGTGGTCAATTTTAGCATACCCAATTCACCTATGTCTTTGGACTTGGGAAAACCGGAGCACCCGGAGGAAACCCATGCCAACACGGGGAGAGCATGCAAACTTCACACAGAAACGCCAACTGACCCAGCCGAAGCTTGAAGCAGCAACCTTCTTGCTGTGAGGCAAACGTGCTACCCTCTGCGCCACCGTGCTGCCCTGTTAGGGAATCAGATTAATATAAATTAATTGACATGTTTATTTAGTGTCTGACACATTAAATATTGCATTTTTAAATATTGTTTCATTTTAAGATTTATTTCAGAATTAACTATAGAACCGGATATATCGTCACATTTTCATGCACAGCAGCATTTCCAAGAACATAGAAAAACAGAATATAGGCCAACTGAAAAAAAAATAAATTAAAAAATTCTGAGGGTATAATCTTGGATAAAAATATCACAGTTTCACAGTATTGTGATTACTGCTCTGAAATGTGTTTTTTTTTTACAGCTACTTTTTCCCCATTGAACACAATATGTTTTGTTTTAAGAAACATTTAAAATATTTTGTAACAGTAAACATGCCAGGCTAAATAATAATTGAATAAAATAGTACTATCTTCATTAGACTCAAAAACACTGATTTCTTGTGAAGGCATAATAAGCTATTTGTTTTTCAGATGTTTGCTGAATCGTGAGCTGACCAGTAGCTTTTGATGTGGAGGGTCTTTTGCTGCTGTAAATAATGTTGGACTATTTTTTTAAGTCTTTGATAACGCGCTAAAAACCATATACAATGCATCCGGAAAGTATTGATACTTTACTTTTTCCACATTTTTAATGTTTCAGTCTTATTTCAAAATGGATTAAATTCATTAATTTCCTCAAAATTCTACACACAATCCCCATAATGTGTGTTGACCCGATTTTAGTTAATCATTTACAAGTAAATATTGCCTATATGGATTGTAATTAAAAAAAAATTAACATGTAAAATTGCAGTGTTAAATGCAATGCCATCAAACATTTTAGACGCACCAGTGCAAAAAGCTAGTCTAGAGCACTTGGAATGCTGGTGTAGTTCTAGTTAAATTCAGTTCGGTTAAAGCTGTATATGCAACAGGTCTCAAGTAGAGGATATAGTATTTAACTAATCTTAACAACTAAACATTTACGAATCTGTATTAGCCAGCTCATGTACTACAATGTAACATACTGTATATTGCCACCTTGATACTTAAGCTTTCTTTAAAATATTTTGTGTTCAACCGATTAATTAATTCTTTCATTTAATTTTTTCTGTGCAATAGTATAGCTTACACTGGTGTATTTGTATGGACCCCCCAAAATAGCGGAGGCCACTTTCTGGCCACCCAAGTATAAACTTCTAGCCTAGCCACTGTGAACTACCTGTCTGTCCTGCTCCAGAACTCTTTGTCGGCTGCTTGTATGTCTGGATACAGCTGCACAAGTCTTTTAACACTGACAAATACAGCCTCTGCACATCCTCACAACCAGGAGAACGGAATGATCAGGAGGACCTGAAAAATATAACCAACTGAAATCAGTTGAAATGTATTTTGTCTTGTAATGATGGCACAAAAATATATCTTTTTTCACAAAGGATGTGCTGTTACCTATGAAACGGTCTATAATGAATGATCTTTTGATCCTGTTTCCTTGATGTCATTCACTCAGAGATGGTTTGGACATTTGATTGTATCTAAACTGTAATGAATTTAAGTTACAAAAACATTGATAGCAGGACCATTGATCTTGTAACTTATACAAATTGTTAATTATTGAACAAGTCTGCAGCCAAACTAGTCAAGTTAATAATACTAATCTCAACCTAACTATGATTAGTTGTCTTGTTTCTGCTGCTCTCCACCTGCTGATAAAAAAGGAAAAAGTATGGTATTTTTACAACAATGAAACTGCAAACAACTTAACTATAAGGGGGTAAGCAGTGAGCATCTTTTATTATAAGCAATTTACTGAATACTTTGTCACTGGAATTACCTAAAAGCCAAACGTCCCAAGTTTGGCTCATAGCTGTCCACACATCTGCCCAGAAGCTTGTGGTAATACTGAAGACACTGATCAGCTGGTCCAACTGAGTTTGGAGTTGAACTGCAATCAGGCATCCAACACTGCAAAAAAAGAGAAACTCACTTTGGGTTAACAAATAATTGAATCCCATCCACACATTTCAAGTAATTGTGCAGTTAATTCTCTTATAGAATTTTCTGAGAGCTTATGAATATATTTTGTCTTCCCAAAATAGCATGTACTGAAACACAACATTATATAAATATAATTTAATAAGAGCGTGACGTGGTGGCACAATAGGTAGTGCTGTCGCCTTACAGCAAGGATGCTGACTCGAGCCTCGGCTGGATCAGCTGGCATTTCTGTGTGGAGTTTGCAAATTCTCCCGGCGTTTGCATGGGTTTTCTCTGGGTGCTCCGGTTTTGCCTACAAGTCCAAAGACATGGGGTACAGGTGAATTGGGTAGACTTAATTGTCTGTAGTGTATAAGTGAGAATAAGCGTATATGGTTGTTTCCCAGTGATGGCTTGCAGCTGGAAGGGCATCCACTGCGTAAAACATATGCTGGATAAGTTGACAGTTCATTCCGCTGTGGTTACCCCAGATTAAAAAAGGGACTAAGCAGAAAAGAAAATGAATGAATGAATTTAATAAGAGTTAAACTGATTTGTTAACATGTCTGTCAGGAGCTGATCTACCTTTTAATTAATTTTTTGCTTAATTTTTTTTAACAGGTAAATCAATACACTTTTTCTATGCTATTTGTGAGATTGTGTATGTTGTCAAACTGATGAAAATGTTTTCTCAATTTACTTTAACATTTTTGTGTTTGTTTATGTTTTTATAACTTGCAGCCGTTGTTAAATTTAAAAGTATTTTAAACATGGATGGACATCTAAATGCATAAAGGGCACATATCTCAACAAATTATGAAATATTTCCAGATAAATCAATTTTGAATTAAAATGTATATTAATCTCCAGACTTGCATCTCCCTGATCTTTTTAAAAGAACGGCCCCTCGTTTGCTCATCACTGTTTGACAAGTGTCTGGCAGTCAGTCAAAAATATACTTACATATAAAGATGTTCATCAGCTACACAGCACTTAGGTTAAACTTTGACCTCCTTTTCAGTTGATGTGGAAAACAAAAGCAAAAGAAAGAAAAAACAAAACGACTGAATACAAGTTGCATATCATGCCTGTACAAATCAAAATGTATTCATTTAGGGCTTAAATTGACTTGTTTGAGGATGAGTTAGGGTGTAAGGGATGGGTGAACGGTGTAAATATACATGTAATTCATAGCTATGATGTAAAGCTGAATTTTCAGCATCATTACTCAAGTCTTCAGTGTCACTTGATCTTTCAGAAATCTTTTTTTAAGATGTTGATTTAGTGCTTGAGGTTGAACTAATATAATGGTGATTATCAAATGGTGCTGATTTGCTGCTCAAGAAACATTTCTGATTGCTATCAATGCTAAAAACAGATGTGATGACAAATAATTTAGTGTAAACTTTTTTCTAAGATTTAATAAATCAATTAATCATAAAAAAAATTAACAAAATGAAAATCACAAATATTACTTCATTAGCAGCAAATCTGCATATTTATTAAGTTCTGAAAAATCATGTGATGTGAAATTTAATACCACGTTTCAATATCAAAACTTTCTTAAAATAACTGCAATAAAGACAAGTAACATATGCATAATATATAGACATGTAACATTTGCATAATGATGTGCAATGGAAATTCATATGAATTAATCCTCTGCTTAAAGTTACTTGTCTTTCCTGCATCTCTGTGATCAGCTCCCTTCAGAAATTTAGGAATCTTGTGTTATATTTTCTGTAGCAGGGGGTTATTCTCTCACTCCTGAAACCACAGAACACTTTTTTTACTTAACATTTGTTTAAGATACCATGAAATATCAAAACACGATTGAACTTTTGATTCACGGTCCTTTTCAGTACAATGCGTATTTTACACTACATATGGAGTGCATTCAATAAAACATTGACAAAACCTCTCATCTACACATAAAGAATAAATAAAAGCCAAAACTTTAACAAACAAGTTTAACAAGAGCTAACATTAAGTAAGTTAACGTAATATTACCCCGACGCTAACGTTACCAGTGCTAATATGCTAACGGACTTTTACGAAGACTTACCACGCTTATATAACATATTATTCAACTGAATATTCATCAATTGCCAATAATAAAAGTGTGAGGAACAGTTTTATGTAGTATTTGCTTTGTTTTAGGGACTAAACTTACCTGAAAACTGTCAAAACGGCAGCTTGAGAGAAGTCGTGTTGTGTCTTTCAGGTGTGGTGTCGTGTCGTGTTGTAGCTTCGTTTCCCATAGCAACATCCTCTCCGCTCCAGTGTTGGAAGCAAGACGCGCGCGCGCACATCAAAGTCATGCAGTATTACATTTATAAGCATGACCACTCCATAGACAATTTAAATAATAACCTTGTATTTTATATCTTGAATTTAAAATGTATTTAGCAGTTTTATATACGCTATTATCTTTAAGACGAGCTTTATTGCCTACTAACTGTTACAAAACAAACACTTTATTTGTGCAACAGATTCACTGTCAAAATAACCAATAAATATAAATGCAAGTATATATAAAACAAAGATGTCACTCTGTAAAAAGGGGTTTATTTTAATTAAACAGCCGAAATGCAGAACATACTTGATTTTTACACTGGGAAAAATTTAATAGAAAAAGCCACGATGAAAAAAGCAAACAGCAAAAACCAGACAAAAACAACGTTTTCTTTATTAAAGCATAACAATAAAGCTTTTATATTTTAATGAATTGAAATCATGTATTGTAGGCATTTTGGTCAGTTTTACTGCATTAATGTAGGCTATTCAAAGCTGGACCGACCGACGCAGTAGACATGATGCATGGCGCGTTTGTCTAATTAATTATGCACGCAAAAACTTACTTGTAAACAAATATGTTGCCGGATTCTTTCATGGGCATGAGAGATAAAGTGCTTATATAAGTGCTTCGTCGGCCTCTGGTCGTTAACCGATGCAGAGCCGACGTTTGTTGAGCTGGAACATTAATATCTGAGTCCAAATCTCATCCTCATAATTATGGCCTCTTCTTTTCTATTTCTACAACTTCATATATAGGTTTCTTATTGTTTCATATGAATTGTTGTCTCTTACTATCTGTTTCACGTTTCCTGCTATTCTTTAGCAATCTTCAGTAATATTTAACTTTACCTTTACTTACAAAAGCATTAAAGGGGTACTTCACATAAAAAAAAAATAATTCTGTCATTCACTCATGCTTTACTTGTTCCAAACCTTTCTGAGTTTTTTTTCTGCTGAATGCAAATGAAGAGAATAGGCTACAGGGTCAAAAGCAGCAAGTTCAACAGCTCCTGCTTTGGACATGGCTGCTTTTTTCAACATTTTCTTGCACATAAAATGTTCTTGGAACTCGATTACAATTGAACCACTAAAGTCACGTCACAGGTTTTGACAATATTTTTGGTTCCTTTTCTGGACTTTGAGCATCTCGGGAGCATCTATGATAGATGAGGGAGCTCTCTGACTTCATCTAAAGTGTTTTCATTTGCATTCTGAAGATGAGCATAGTTCTCAGGGGATTGAAACAACAGGTAGAGGGACAATCATTCTCGAGTGCCTAGTGTACACTATAACACACGCATTCCACCACTGCTGATATACAGCCACATCGCACTGCTTTGTTTATTTATTTATTTTTATTGCAATAACATCAGGCCATTACAACAAATAGAAATACAGAAACTGATAGCACTGATACTCATGTGATGATATTATTCATATAGTCCTTCATTTTCTTTACGGCTCAGTCCCTTTCTTAATCAGAGGTCGCCATAGTGGAATGAACCTCCAACTTATCCAGCACATGCTTTACACAGCGGATGCCCTTTCAGCTGCAACCCATTACTGGGAAACATACACACTCATTTACACACACTGCATGCATACCGCATGTCTATTGACTTTGGGGAAACCAGAGCATCAGGAGGAAACTCATGTGAACACGTGAGAACATGCAAACTTCACACAGAAATGAAAACTGACATTAAAGTATTAAACTGGTATTGGTGTAAAACTATGCTTAAAATTGGTTGTTATTTTTAAAATGTGTGAAAAGGCACCATTCAGATGTAGCGATTGTAATGATTTGGGCAATCAAGAATGTATGGTTATAGACACTATGTTTATTTGTCTTAAGAGGTGTAAGGCAGGTCTTGTTCATGTAATTTGCTTTAGGTTTTCAAGTTGGTATTGGAGCGAGCAGCTACACCCGTTAACCGGTTTCTTATATGTAAAACAATCCTATTCAGGTAATGGTGTGGCCTATCATGCAGCTATTAATAAATACGACTGCACATGATGATGAGCCGTTTATTTAAATGAATATGTGACAGATATTTAAATTTCATTGTTGCAAACAAGTTACAGGAGCAAGTGCAGTTGTTGTAGTATGTCATGTCCACTACTGTAAACACACCATGGTAAAAAGAATTCTGAGAAATGGTGTAGATCGAGCAGGTTAGTCACCCTGAATTACCTTTTATAAACTGCCTATACAATAATTTAACTTGTGATTAAATTATTTTCTAATTATAAATATATAGATGCATGACAGATTTAATATTGGACTCCACAAGGGTAAGACCAAAGCTTAAAATCGCATCACGTGAGTGCATGAGACCTATAAAAGATCAAAACATGACCTCTCTGTACAAAAAAAAACTTTAATATGGAGCAATCGCTCACTTTTATCAACATCTAATCATATTGTTTTACCACAGCATCGTACAACAGAATTTCAAAAGCACAAACTCTAGTGTTGCCACGGCCTAACTTGCTTTCAGATTAACTCTACCCAGCTGCTACATATATAAGCCTACCTTAGACAGAGTGGGTGCATTTAGAAGCTGCTGTGCTGTGGAAGTTCCAGACTAGAAGCTGCTTTCTTGATTTGTTTGTGTTACTTGTTGCTTGATTTTGGCCTGTACTAAGACAGATCTCTTTTGTAGTGAGATCTGTCTTGGTAACCTTTACTGTGTTGTGATTTTTGCGCATTGACTCAACTGCATTGATTCCTTTGTCTATTGGGCTACTTTCAATTTGATTTCAGAATGTCACTATGCAGAGTGAGTGCATTTTCCCTCCTTCTCCTGGTTAAGAGATAAAGCTCCGGAAGTTGACAAAATCAAATAAATCCGACCTAGTTTAAAAGACTTTAATTTGAAGCAAAAAAGATGCTGGAGGACTGGATCAGATATATGGCACTTTACTCACACCTGATTGCTTCAGCCGCTTGTACATAACATTTCACAGCACCTGGACTTAACACAAATGAGTTTGAAGTTACAGTGTGTCTCATCCATTTGTGATTAATGTACAAACAATTATCTACAAAGGACAAAAGTAGCAAAAATGGACAGTATGTGATAGCTTTACTGTGTTAAAAGCAAAAGGTTTTGTCACAGGGTATCTTTTATATTCTCTTGTGAATGTTTATGCATATCTGTATGCACAAACACAAGAAATAATAATTAGAGGGAAAAAACATCTTTGTTACATACCAGGTAAATAAGAGGCTTTTGAGAGAGCTGAGCTGCTAACACATGTTCTGTTCAACAAAAAAACGAAGGAAAGAAAACAAAATTGGCACAGAAACAAGTTACATTTTGATTGTAAAATGTAAAGGCACTTTTGGAAAGAAATAATTGAGCTATTAAGAGTGTGTTGACTGTCTTACAGAAACCAGTAATGAGCTGCATGAGCTTTAAGAGAAATAAAGGACTCCAAACTCACATAAAGAACAAGTTCAGTGATAGACAAAAAAAATGCTAATAGTTAGCTCATGTCAATGTATTGACTCAACTTGATAAATAAAACGTCAATGTGAAGTTCGGAAATTGTTTCTTTCAACGAATGATAATACATCACTGTATAATAGTATAAGACTTACATAACTATCATATAAGTGAATGTAGTTGTGTGTATTATAACATTAGTAGCTTTGTTTCCATCCACCAATTTTATGCGCATTTTGCAAAATAAAATGCGCATAAAGCGCATCATGTGATTTTGTTAAAAGAGATCATGTGATGCTTAAAATGTTTGTGAATGGACAAAATGTCAGGCTGAGCACATTATAAAACATCTGAAATGTTGTTTTGGTCATTATAAAACGCCTTACCATTTCACTATTAATGTTATTATATTATTAATGATCTCCAGAATCAAGAGCGCCTGTGCTCCGCGTCTGACACCTTCGAGGATTGTCTTCTGAGGCGCATTCATTTAGAAAAGATTGATGCAGCTTCTCCTACTGCAGCAAATGCAGTTTTTACAGTTGATATGTGGCGCCAGTTAATCAGGAAGTGATAATTTTGTTTGCTTTGACTCATTGGATGGAAACAATGCTTGGTTTGCACAACATTTATGCGATAATCCAGATTTGCGCATAAAGTTTATTCGCATTTTTGGATGGAAACATAGCTAGTGTGGCTTGAGTCTTCAATGCTCATTTGCATCTTTACACAAAGACTTCAGCCATCAACTATGAAAAGCTTCTACAAAAACAACACACTTTTCACAACACCTGGAATTAACACAAATGAGTTTGAAGTTACAGAGTGTCTCATCTATTTGTGATTAATGTAAGAACAATTATCTACAAAGGACAAAAGTAACAAAAATGGACGGTATGTGATAGCTTTACTGTGTTAATAGGAAAAGGTTTTGTCACAGAGTATCTTATATATTCTTTTGTGAATGTCTATGCATATTTGTATGCACAAACACAAGTAATAATTAGAGCGGAAAACATCTTTGCTACATACCAGGTGAATAAGAGGCTTTCGAGAAAATGATGTTCTGTTCAACTAAAAAACGAAGGAAAGAAAACAAAATTGGCACAGAAACAAGTTACATTTTGATTGTTAAAATCTATAGACACTTTTGGAAAGAAATAATTGATCTGTTAAGAGTGTGTTGACTGTCTTACAGAAACCAGTAATGAGCTGCATGTGCTTTAAGAGAAATAAAGGACTCTAAACTCACATAAAGAACTAGTTCAGTGATAAAAAAAATGAATAAAACATTGCTAATAGCTCATGTCAATGTATTGACTAAACTTAACAAATAAAACCTCAATGTGAAGTTCAGAAATTGTTTCTCTCAACGAATGATAATATATCTAAGACTTATAATAGTCTAAGACTGAGTATAATAGTCTAAGACTTACATAACTATTATATAAGTGAATGTAGTTGTGTGTATTGAGACATCAGTGCGACTTGAGTCTTCAATGCTCATTTGCATCTTTATACAAAGACTTCAGCCAAGAGTCTCTGAGAAGCTTCTGCAAAAACAACACACAACTCATGCATTACTTTGCAACCAGGCTTGGGAAAAAATTAATTAAAATGTCTTTCAAATCAAAATACCCTAACATAAGTGTATCAATATTAACTACAAAATGCAGCAGCCAAAATAAAAAATAAGCTTCCATCAATAGTACTATAAAACAACAGCAACAAATTAAATGAAGATGGCTAAAGTCAACTCATTTTCCCAATACATCATTATTTCTCTGTAAAACTGGTTTATAAAGCTGCTGGACTTCCCATCCCCCACGGTATGTGTCTTGAGTCTTCACTGCTGTCCACTGCTTATTTGCGTCTTTGCAGCGTTAATGGGGGCCAATTGAGTCTTATCCAATCACATTCAAGATCCTGTAGCTCAGCAGGGTTGTATCTATATATTCTGGGTTCCTAACAGAATCTTCATTGGCTTATTTTGCTAAGTAAAGAGAACAACTTTGGAGGACAAACTACGATTGTTGATTCCTACACTGGGATTATTACTAACAACAACCTACAAAGAAAAGCCCACTGAGGCCATTTCTCATCCCACTTCTTCATTGAAGACTGAAAAGGTGAGTTGCACATTCTGAATTTACACTCAAATAATATCTGAATGCTAACATTATAAAAATGTAAAGTCTAAACATGCGTGGATGCATTGTTCAACGTTGTATTAAGTTTTTCGGTCATTTCTAAAAGCTTTTTTACAACTATTTCGTTTTTTTTTATTTATTTTTTTATTTGGTTATAAATATCCTGACAAATGGACTGTAGCCCAAATAAGTTTCAACCTATTACATATATAGGTTGGAACCTGGCAGGCAATTTTGGAGAGATGTTTGCCCATTCAAACATACAAAGAGGTGGTAACATCAGTGAACACAAGTGAATGAGTTAAAGCTATAGATAAAGAAATGCAATAGTTTAAAGAAAATGCAACCTCTTACCAACCTACCTGAAGGCAAAGATCTAGTGGGGGGTATATGCTTTTTTTCAATTAACATAATGACTGTCTTACAAATACAAAACAGAAAGCAGATAAAGTATAAAGAAGAAAATGAGGGAGAAATGTATTAATAAGTCATGACTAAGAGTAAGTAGGGAAAAAAAAAAGCTAAACAAAAAAAAGACTTTTATTGTGGCATGGTGGTGTGATGTCATAAGACTGCACCACTCCCGCGTTATGATTCAACTGGAGAAAGGTTTGTTTTAAAGCCTTTAAGCAGATGTAAACCAACTGATTAAAACTTCAGGTTGGTCATTTAATGCTAGATGTACCTGCTGTTGACAATGTTATTTTAACCCTTTATACAACAAAGTTCAATTTTACTCACAGTAAGGTCTATTGTTTGAATAAGATAGGATAAACTTTATTTGTCCCCGAGAGTAAATTCTTTTCTCGTACAAATAAGTGCTACAATGTTTCTGTAAGCAGACAAAAAAAAAATTAATTAACATCATTTGTTAAAGTTTGAATAAAGCAACAGTAAAGTGTGTAATAAGTGTTTTAGTGAAGGTTTAATTTATTAAATAGCATAATGTCATTCTTTTCGAAGTATACATGACTTTATATAAGAAATGGAGTTGCGTTAGTTTTAATCAGCTTATTCGTAGCTATTGTTTCTTGCTCAGTCTTAGCTGATTTCTTTTTGTCAATGACTCTCATATAAACAAACTGTTGAAGCAAGTGTTGAAGAGAAGTCATTTTGTTTCTGTTCAGTGTTTTATTTATTTTAAACAGGACATTTTTTATTGTTTTGTTCATTTTAAACAGGATAAAGTGTCCAAACACAGAAAAACTCCTGCTGAAGCGACCGATCTCCACACTGTTATAAAGATGGCGTTTATTAAAGAGGAGAGTGAAGACCTTAAGATCGAGGAAACAGTCGAACATGAAGATCTGCTAGAACAAACAGGTAATTTTCATTCTCAAACACCAACTCAGTCATTTGATCCTCATTCAGATATATTTTAATAATAAGAATACTAAATTAAATCCATCTTGCAGCCCTGAGTGTGCTGCCTAGTTCTCCTAAATGCACATAAGCACTCATTGAAAGACAGGAATCAGTTTCTTTCTTCTTGCTTGATCTCGTGTCTTTTGTCATTATTTTATGTATTATTAGTCTCCCATTTTCTCTACCTTCTTAAAGGGTCACAAAACACCAAAACACATTTTTTGAGCTGTTGACAGTTGTGTATGTTTTTGCGGTTTTTTTTTTTTTGCGTTATTTCAAGCAAATTCATACTTCTGGTTTGAAACTAATTTTTGAAGCTGCGTCACGGTCATGGCATAATAGCGTTGTATTGAATAATAAATAATATCTGAATAAATAATATTTAAATAAGCAACAAAGGTTGTAAGATAACTGTCTCCCAACAATAAAACCAGTTTGATCTGGGTGAATTCTCTTTCTCATGACTGACTCCACTCTGATTGCCAGCACTTTAGCCAGGATAGTATAATCACAGCAGAGTAAGCTGATCAGATGATAAGATTCACATTTAAGTGGATTCTTATCCTTTTTAAGAAGTACTGTTATAACAGTCAATGTCATGGAGGGGGGGAGTGATTCCGAGATGAGACCTTCAGCAAATACCTTGCACAACAGGGGTGTTAGCTTGGCAAATAAACTTCTTAAACTCTTCCGGCAAGCCATCAGGGCCTGGTGTTTTTCCGGTTTTCAATTTTTTGATTGCATTTTCAATTTCAGAAGGTGTTATATTTCCTTCTAATGCCAACTGATCTGAATCACAGAAGGATGGAAATTCTAAATAATTAAAAAAAAATCTCTCAATAAGTTCAATTTCGTTTACCTCAGAGCTGTAAAGAGTTTTATTGAAGTTTTTTAATTGATCATTAATTCCCTGTTGATCAGTAATAATACTGCATCATCCTTACTAACTGCTGCTATAAAACCAGCTGGTGAGGATTGTTTCAGTTGGTTACACAATAACCTGCCAGCTCATTCACCATGTTCATTATGAATCTGGCGTGATCTTATGTGGGGATCCTCTGCGTATTCCGTTTGCAGAACAAGTCTTCTCTTATGGAGCTTTTCAGAAGGTGATGTTGAGTGTAGCTGATCAATTGTATTAATTTTATTCAAAATCTCTGTAAGCCGTTTTGACATTCTTTTATTTGCACTAGCTTGATATAAAATCTGTCCTCTTATATATGCTTTCTGAGTATCCCATAGGATGCTACAACCTATCTCTGGGGATTCGTTAGTCTCAAGGAAGAAATCAATTTGAGCATCAATAAATTTTACAAATTCGTCATCTGCCAAGTGTCTTGAGTTAAACCGCCATGTACGTTGGAGGATTACATTGCCTTGAAATCATAGCTTTAGTGAGACTGAACAATGGTGCGAAATAACAATACTACCATACTCTACTTCTGACATTAGGGGAAGTAACTGCTTGTCCAGGAAAAAATGGTCAATTCTGGAATAGGTTTGATGCACTGGTGAACAGAAGGAAAATTGCTTGGAAAATGGATATTTAATTCTTAAGGGTTAATGCTGCCCTCTTCGACTCTCCTCCTCTTCCTTTATACTTTCACCCATTTCCTTGTTGCCGTCTCTTGGGTGGAGACCAATTAAACAATGTTGACTGTCGTCACAGAAAACACCAACAATCATAAATGCATGATTTTATGCTGTCATGGCTTTACATTAAAAAAATGTTGTTATAATCGAGGCCAATGGAGAAAAAACAGTCATGAATATAACGAAAAGGGAGTAAAACATTTTTTCAAAGCATTTTCCCAGAATATGTTAAAATAAGATGTCCCCAAATATCAGTCTGTTAGCTGAAACAGAGAAAGTTTTGGCCAAATTAAGTCTCAAAATCACCCCAGAATGGATGAAACTGACCCAACAGCACACAAGGGAAAGGTGCACATTCCAGCCTTTATGCAGATGCGGTACAGGTATGTCTCATGTCTGCGAGGCAAATATTCAGCTGTTTGTTCAGCTGTTACCCTAGAACTTTTTTTCTGATGTGTTTACCAGTCAGGCACAGAATGAACAAGTATTCCCTGTCTGCTTTACACATTTTAGAAAAACATTTTTTTGTAATTATGAATAAATACAAATAAAAATAGCCATTTACAGCTTTCAAATCTGTGTCTTATCAATATGACCAAAATGACTTTTATGATCAATTATGTAAGAAACTCTAGAAACTGGATTGAGTTTCAATTTACAATAACTTCTATGTTAGGTGTCTTTGACACAGTTTACATTGTAAAAGCACTAGATAAATAAAGATGAATTGAATCTGCTTAAATGTGTACACATTAATGGACCAAACAAAATATGATCTGATTTATTTTACATTTAATGTGCATTAAAATTACAGTGTGTGTAGCCAATGTTTCCAGTGTCTTCTCACTTTTCAGCTTTTGATGAGAGTTTTTAAGACTTAATGAAAACTAATGTTTTATTTATTTATTTCAGACTTTATTGAAGAGAATGAAGAGAATAAAGAGGAGGAACATCATGTCAAATTTGAGGAAAAAACTCATTTACAGACTGATGGCATTTTTAAAAGGAGAGACAAAAATCGTTTCACCTGCACTCAGTGTGGAAGGAGTTTTGGAAGAAAAGGTGATCTTAAGATTCACATGAGGATTCATACTGGAGAGAAACCATTCACATGCACTCAGTGTGGGAAGAGTTTTAGCCATTCTTCAAACTTCAATCAACACAGAAGGATCCACACTGGAGAGAAACCATTCATATGCACACAGTGTGGGAAGAGTTTCAGCCGATCATCACACCTTTATCGACACATGATGATCCACACCGGAGAGAAACAATTCACTTGCACTCTATGTGAGAAGAGTTTTCAAAGAAATTTCGATCTTAAGATTCACATGATTCACACTGGAGAGAAACCATTCACATGCACTCAGTGTGGGAAGAGTTTCAGCCGATCATCACACCTTAATGAACACGTGATGATTCATACAGGAGAGAAACCATTTACTTGCACTCTATGTGGGAAGGGTTTTGGAAGAAATTTCGACCTTAAGATTCACATGATGATCCACACTGGAGAGAAACCATTCACATGCACTCAGTGTAGAAAGAGTTTCAACCAATCATCAAACCTTAATAATCACAAGAAGACCCACACTAGAGAGAAACCCTTTACTTGCACCCAGTGTGTGAAGACTTTTAACTGCTCATCATACCTTAATCAACACATGATGATCCACACTGGAGAGAAAACATTCACATGCACTCAGTGTGGTAAGAGTTTCAGCCAATCATCACACCTTTATCGACACATGATGATCCACACCGGAGAGAAACAATTAACATGCACTTAAGTTGCGGTCACATTGGACTTATCTCCCCATAGATTTCGGAAGCCAAGTTTGTGTGTCAAGTTTCAGTTCACTGCGTTGCAAAGTTCAAGCTTGTTGAACTCTGACCTGCGAAATCGCATCACTTGACCATGTAAGACCAATCGAAAATCAAAACATGACCTTTCTGGACAGAAATGTAAAATATAGACCAATCGCTTACTTTTTTGATGTCTAATCATCTTGTTTAATCCCGCCCCTGTTTGCAGCGCCATACAACAGAATTTCGCATGCTCAAACTCTTGTGTTACCGCAGCTTCAGTGTGGGATGAGCTCATCAGTCCCTAATAAACACATGAAGACCCACACTGTACTGTTCACATGAACTTAGTGTGGGAAGAGTTTCGATCAGCAAACTTTAAAGAACACATGAAGATCCACACTGGTGTGAGAGTATATGTGCCTTGAGTGTGAGAAGACTTTTATTACAGCTCGAAAATCGAAACTGCACCAGACGATTCACACTGGAGATCGTACAGATGTTTACACCATGACAAGAGGTTTAATCAGTTAACACATCTGAAAACACAGAAGAGGATTCACACTGGAGAGAAACCGTACAGACCTGGGGCCTCATGTACGAAGACTTGCGTGGAAATCTTACTAAAACATTGCGTACGCACAAAGCTGTAAATGTGCGTACGCAGAAAAAAATTCAGATGTATGAAACACTGAGTACGCCGAATCTCACGCATATTCTTTTGTACATCTGAATGAACGTGAAACTGAGCGCAACATGCACGAGCACAAAACCCCTCCCTGCCTCCTCCCCCGTATGAATATGCTAATGACTATGCTAATGGAAAAACCCAACGAAAAAGCAACGGCAAAATCAAACAAAAAGAGAAACTTTAAACAGAATGTGAATTGGAGGTGCTGCTTTCGGAGGTAGACCGGAGAAAAGTGGTGTTATTTGCAAGTTTGTTTTCCGGAATTAACAACAAAAGAAAAAAATAGAGTGGGAGAGTTTAGCTGATACGGTTAACACAGTTGGGTCTGAACATCGCACTGAGTGCATTTAAAAAAGAAATAGTGTGGTTTATAACTGAAAAATGTTGCAGTACCCTTAGCAGTCTCAGTGGTGCACCTCATAAGCATGTGATCATGCACTGACATGTTCGAGCATAAACTCGGCTCGAATCCAGCGTCTGATGAACTCTTTCTTGTTTTTTCCGCCGCTACATATCAGATTTTGCCCACTATTTATCAAGAGAAAGACAAGTAGGAATCATCAATAAGTTTGTGCATCATATTTTATTTGCACATTTATTGAATGGAAATGTTTCTGATTCACGCATGCAAATTCATCTTCAGATAGTGTCTTTATAGCAATGTGCGTGCAGTAGATCGCTCAGATTACATTGGGAAAACAGGCGACTGCTGCAAATTGTGCTTTAATGTTTAGCTGGTCAACTGTATGGTATGGAAATCTTACATACCTACTATATGAACCCGTCTCATACAGCTGCCATTGCAAGGCTCAGACACTTTGTAGAGAAGAATTTAACACAACTGCCTCTAGGAGTCGCCAATGGAAATAAAACAGACACGCACAAAAAATGTGCGTACGCCTGCCAGAAAGCTGCCGTGAACCTGCACACATTCCCACGTTCAGTTCATTGTTAGTAAATCCAAACGTGAGCGATTCTGAGCGTGAAACCTGGCGTACGCAAAGTTTTTGTGCGTACGCAGCGTTGATACATGAGGCCCCTGCTGTTTTTGTGTACACTAAAAAAAATAATTTTGTGTTTAAGCACTCAAAAACAGTCAATTTGTGATGATAAAATTTAAATAATTAATATACATATAGTCCAGTCTTGTTCAATGACTGTCATAGTTTACATCAGGTAATACTGATAAAGTACATTGTTATAATGGTGACATTAAATTTTTACCAACATTTTTAGCACATTAAAAAATGTATTTGAAACATTAATCTCAAAATTATTTGCAGTGTAAATTATTTAATTTGACTCATAAAAGCCCTACTGTGACATTAAAATTTAATGTATTTAACAAATAATTTAGATATATAATAAGATATAATAATAAGATATGAGGATTTAAAATATTCCACACACTTAAGGTTAAAATGGTAAAGGCAAAAAATAGAGATGGAGTAAATATTCCAAATATGCAGACTGAAGAATGTGTAAGAATATTGATACAAAAAAATGAAATAAAGGGCTCAAGGAAAAAGCTGTCTTCTACCTGTTTATCTTTAGGTAGACCTTCCATATCATCAAGGTTGAACTAGGAAATCTTGGGCTTAAAAAGGTTGGTGACTACTGGGTTACACTATTCAAGAAATAATTACACTTTTTGAGCAACATGACACAAGCAATTGATAATGTAAGAAAAGGACAATTACATAATTTTATAAATTTGCTTATACATTTGCTACAGGGGTGTTGCTAGGGTCGAAAGGGATAAGGGGCTTAGACCCTAAAATGTATCTCCTAACCACACAAAAAAGACGTTCTAATTCACCCCACTAATGTACCCTCACTTACATAAGGTGATCTACTGTAATGTTAATAATAGGATTGTAAATGGTTTAATAATAAATAAAGGGTTTTTGAGTTGACAGTTTAACAATCAATTGTGAAGCTTTGTGACTTGTAACACCAAAAAGGAAAAAAAACATTGATAAATTAATCCACTTCTCATTTACTAGTCTGTTATAAGCCATATCACACCACTTAAGTTTTTTTGTTACTTTTTTTGAAAATGTAATTTTCTGCATGTCTTCAAAACTGAAAATATGATTTATTTTCTAGTTGTTATCCAATGTGATAAAAAGCTACAAAAATGTTGGACAGAGTGATTACCTAAGGTGTGTTGTCAAGATACTGGAATATTTTAATTCAATACCATGCAAAATATTGATATTCAATAGGCTACTCTTTTTGATATAATAACAACTTTATAAAAATAGTACAAAAAATTACAATAAAGATCTATATGCTAAAAATATGTTTACTACTTATAGAGGGATTTTTTTCAGTTTTCCTCAAAATGGTTGATGTGGGCATTGTAGCACTTTAAATACATGTAATGGCCGTTTCATTCATACTTGATCAGAAATTATATATGCCTTACAAAGAAGATGAACAGTCCAGGAAATCCCTAATATGGATGAAGGCATCAGCTATTGCTGTAGTTGAATGAAAATAAGATCTGAATAAACATGACAAAACTTTAACTGATCATTTACACGACTGCGACAATGAATGTTTTATACAGAAATATTATCCCCCTTTGAATTTTATTTTTTAAATATTTCCCAAATGATGTTTAACAGAGCAAGGAAATTCCCACAGTATGTCTGATAATATTTTTTTCTTCTAGAGAAAGTCTCATTTGTTTTATTTCAGCTAGAATAAAACAATTTTGCATTTAAAAAAAAACATTTTTAAGTCAAAATGATTAGCCCCTTCAAGCTATTTTTTTCCCGTCTACACAGCAAACCATCACTATTCAATAACTTGCCTACCTACCCTGCATTTAAAGCCTGTAAATGTCACTTTAAGCTGTATAGTCTTAAAAATGTCTAGTCAAATATGATTTATAGTTATAATGGTAAAGATAAAATGATTCAGTTATTAAAAATTAGTTATTGAAACCATTATGTTTAGAAATGTGTTGAAAAAAATGTCCGTTAAACAAATTAGGGGTAAGGGGGGGCTAATAATTCTGACTTCAACTATGTGTTCTTCCAGCTATCTTAGGTATTTTAATAAGAAAGACGATTTATAATCCCCTGCTAACTGACATAGCATGTTACAGTAGAATGTAGCTATGAAATATTAAGCTAGATCCATTAATTCACTGTGATTTAATTACAGAAACAGAAGTGACTCCCCATATCATATCTCGATAACTATGCCTAGATATCTACTTCATTTCTAGAAAGCTAGTACAATTTACATTTTACTGATAAATTTGCATGAATTTACATTGATATGATCGATTACAGTTATTTTATTTCAACAAAACTACACACATTTTATACTGTGAAAACAAATATTAAGCTTCATCAGTAGTTGGAACTATTCACTTTCACAAAAGAGAAAAAAATATTACCTCATCAACTTTAGCTCCTTAAAACAATGAATAAATGAAGTGCAGTAGCCGAGTTTTTTAAAACCATGTGACAACAGTGCCACTCCCACCTGCCGGTAGAAACAAGGTGCGTTCGACTTCATTCAGCGCTGCGCAGATTGATCGAAATCTGTCTTAAAGCGGTGCACGCTGGTTAGAAATCTTGTCCTGATTGATGCTGCGCCGACGCCACGTGACTGTCACATGTGGCATCAAAGTACCGCGACAGCGCTCCGAGATCAGACGGCAGACTCAGACTGTGCAGCTTCTGAAGAGCGACTGCAGAAGCTCTGATGACGACACCGATATTACACGAT